TAACGCGGAAACGAAATTTCAATCGACCGTTTCTGGCGGCCGACGATAGCAAAGCGAATTTCACGACAATTCGGACTAATGGCACCGACTGTCGAATCGATAATAATTCAACATTTAATTATGATCCTGTCATTTGGACGGGACACGGGGGCGCGAGACCGCAAACTATACGCCCCCGTGATATCGTCGTGTATCGTATCGAATCGGAAGATAGATCGCCGTGTCAACCTCGAAACAAAGTCAAGAGCAGGCCGTCGATATTTCATCGCAACGATGGCCAGCTGAAAACAAAACCGCGAACCTACCGCGCGTCCTTCTGCTACGTCGCCGCGCCGCGATCCATGAATTACGTATAATAAGTTACGCAATTGTTTTGATCAACCTTCAAGGATCAAACATTTCTCCTTGAAAGATAAATACGTGGCGGGGGGAGGGGGAATGTCGCGGAATTTCGAAATTTTTACTTTCGTCTTTTCGCGTGAATTTTCCTCAAACCAACACCGTCCGACTCGCAATTCCACTTATTCGTTATATATAAGTAGTTTCGACGAGTTAATTTTGCATTTTTTTCCAAGCTACACTCTCTTTCTCTTTACTAACATTAAAATCTCTCCACGATGTAGAAATTTTTTTCACAAGTTTATCGCGCCACGTTGGAACGATCTTTAGGACGATCGAATTTTTTCTTAAACTGCAACGTGATAATAATAAACAAAAGTTATTCCATTTTGTCTTTACTGACTTTATTTAACGAAGTATAAATAATATAAATTTTTACGAAGTCGCTTCCCGATTCAGCTCCGTTTCAAAAGATTCTTCAACGCGTGATATTGCTTAAGAAGAAGGATTAATAATAAAAGTGGAGGATTCTCAATTGAAGAAAAAGCAACCGCAAACAACGTAACTAGTGCTACGCGTTTTATGAAGTTCCCTTGCAAAGTAATTTTTTTAGAAACTTGTGCACTTCTGCTAGGAACGTAACAACTTCCTAAGTGTTTTAATACTCGTGTAAGAAAACATAGTTACCACAAGAAACAGTAACACTCATTTATTACGACGTGGTTCTGAAAGAGTGGAGATCACGAATAATAATACATAAGTCGCGAGTATCAAATAGATACTCTAAGTTTTTTTTTTTTTTTTTTTTTTTACATCAATAGATCAGACAATTATCAACGCTTCAACGATTCTCCCTTTCTTCCTGCTAATTTTCCTCGCGAGATCAGATATTTTTATTTAAAAAGAAAAACACGATTCGCCAGGATATAGAGAATATCGAGGAAAAAAGAGGCGCAGTTAAAACGAAAGCTTTCCCTCCTAATTTTAAGTAGGCCAACGAGTGACACCGAGGATATTAAAAGATCCAGATAATCTCCGAAGACGTGATAAATCTCGGCAACTTTAATCGAACGAAAAGTTGCAGTCGCGTTTTGCTACGTGGAAATTCTCATCCCCGCAGGAAGGGGGACGAATTCCATTGTTCAACGATGGGCGAAGAAACGATTTTTTTTAAAACCACGAGAACTTGTTCGGAACTTGATGGAACTCGAGAGTGAGACTCGACGTGGCGGGGCTCGTTATCGACGAACAAGGGCCCTCGATGATTTCTGGATAATAGACCGCGTTCACTTTTTCAACGAGAAATGAGGCGTTCTTCTTCTTTCCTCAAAGAGAAAAGAGACGATTATTTGACGATCAACGACTGGATTTTTACGCAAATTTGTATTTTCACGGACATGTTTAAAAAGAAAAAGGAAAAAAGAAACAGAGAAAAGTTACAACAATTACCGCACTTTGGATATTTTGCACAATTTCGTTAACGCTATAGGCATCCCTTAAATTTCGCACGAAAGTCCAGAAAATCAAAAAAGAAAAAAGAAAAAAAAAAGGAAAGAAGCGAGACTATTGTCCTGGAATTTTACGATTTCCAGTGAAACACGGTGAATGGTCAGTTAATTCGTAGTTCGCGAAAATTTCATTTTCGTAATAGCAAACTTGGCACTATCACGGAGGAGGGAACTTGTTAAGATGAATAACTTATAACTTGCTTCATGTGAAATTGTGCAAGAGGGTCTGGATCGTCCCTCGTACTTGCGAACGAAGCTACAACCTCACCTGTTACCCTCGCGTAGAACAGAATTTATTAATACTGATAACATCTAACTCGTGACCTACACGAGATTTCGTTAATAACGTCAGATGAACTTCGCCTTGTTGAAGTCGTGAAAGCAACGAAATATGTTTCGAATATTTTTCTCCGTCTAACACATGTACGACAAAGACATCAATTCTGTGGAACGAAGGAGATGATTCGTCTAACAATCTACGAAAGAGAAAAAAGAGAAAACAATCCCAGTAAAATTCGCAGCAGGACGAGCACGAAGAAGAGTATTAAGACACCAAGAGTACAAGATAATTTTCGTCGTACGTTCGAATCCTCTACGATCCAATTTTGTCCACGACGATCCACGAAAATTGCGAAATAGACGACAAAAAAAAAAAAAAAAAAAAGAAAAAAGAAAAAAGAAAAAACACGTCGAGGAAAATATTGGATCGCGGGTGGTCGAAGTTCAAGGACAGTGTTGCGAGGGGGAAAAGTGAGTCGGAAGACACAGAGGGGGCAGCGATGAGAGACGTTTCTCGACGGGGTTCGACGATGTTCAACGGCGATGTTAACGTCGTGTGGAGGGAACGGGAGCCGGTGGGGGTGGAGGGGTGTGAGGTGCTCGGGCAGAGGATCAAGAAAAGGCGAAAAACGAAGAGGGAGAGGAAGAGGTGAGGCAGCGGAACAGTGCGGCGAAGTAGCTGGCCAGAAATAACTAATAAGACATTCACTCTAAGACGGGCGGCCAACCGGCCCGGACGAACGCGGTGCGTCTCGGTATATAAAAACCTCGTAATCGGCACCTCGTAATCACCCCTCATCGATACGATAACACACCACACCACAACTCTGTTCGTATATATCTCGTACACGTGTGAGGCAACGGTGTTTCGAAGAGGGAATTCTTCTGTGTGCAGACAGTGCCGCGTGCCTCGTCCCTTGGTGTCCCAGTTTTACTACAAAGTGATACTGCTACTGATACTGC